AGAAAAAAAAAAACCCGAGCCAGCTCGGCTCGGGCCGAAAAAAGCTCGGTCCAAAAAAGAGTCCGAGCTTTTTTTTTCCGGCTCGGGCTCGGCTCGTTCCCACCGCTATCTTGCACGCTCCCCAAAAAAAAAAAAAATTTATTAATTTGAATTATTATCCCAATTTTTTTATCTACGAACATCGCTTTCCGTGTCCTCCCAAAGAATAAAACCCTAATATTCGACTTCTCCCTTCTCCGTCTAAATTTTCCCTCTCTAAATTTCATACTCGACACGGACTTCATTCTCAAATGGCGACGGCGGGCGGAGGAGCCACAACCAACACAGACGCCATCTCTTCCTCTTACAATGGCGGAGGAGGAGAAGGGGTGGGAGGAAAGTTCCGCAAGAGGCCGTTCCGTAGAGCCCACCATACTACGCCGTACGATCGCCCCCTCACTGGTCTCCGAGGAATTACCACCGGCGCAACTAACAATAACAACTCTAGCTGGTTGAATAAGCTCGTGGTGGACCCGGCCTCCAAGCTCATCTCTTATGGGGCTCACCGCTTCTTTGCCTCCGTTTTCCGCAAACGCCTCCCACCTCCTCCCCAACCAACAGGTATATATTCCAGTGTTGATTTTTTTCTCCAGAAAATGCTTTCCTTTTTTTGGTTTCGTGATTTGATATATTAGTTACGTTTTATTCAATTTCGTGTGAAAATTTTGAATTGAGGTTTAATTTTTTTTCTTACTCCTATATTTGCATGTGTTTTTTGGAGTCATTCGGATTGGATTTTTACTCTTCGTTAGGTGGTGAATTGCTACCCATTTGAGTGATATTTGGTGAATGATATTATTTCTTTGAACCGTGTTGCCAAAATTTGTGTTTCTAGGCGTATATATGTAAGTATCTGAATTCGTTTGTTGTTTATTTATTTATCTTGAAATGAATTTTTCTTTGTTAGTTTTAAGTTTAAGAGCTTGTTTGGTAGTAATTAAAATCGGATTAAAATTGAAAAACTAGTCGTTATTGTTGACTTTTATTAGACGAGTGAGACCAATAACGGCTATATTTTAATTTTAATTGATTTAAAATCCCTCCCAAACAAGCTCTAAGACTTTAACGGTGGTATTCATGAAATTTATTTGAGTGACTAGGGCTATGACGTGGTTCTGTTACTTATCATTTCTCTTGGTTCCAGTTTTTTTGAGCTCAATGTTATATTAGGGAAAATAAAGAAGTTCTAATTTCTGAAGGTTTGTAGTTTTAGAAATTTAGGTTAAATTGAATTTGCCAATGAAAAAAGAATTCGTCTTTACATTACCGGCTACAGTTTTCTCTGTCCATTTATCACTTCTTAAGTGATTCGTATTGCACAATCTCATAGGTCTTTCATTTCGAAGTTCAATTGCTTAATCTTGCGTGCTTCGCAAAGAAATGACATTATGCTTATTTCTGCACTTGTGTATGGCAGTGCTGCTTTTGTCATTTAAGCTATGTTTCACATTCTTATGAATTATGATCTTTGCAATAGCTGCCACCACATATATCTATTTCATACAGTATTATCATTATTATTCTCGTGAAATAGGTGCAATTTTTTCACAATAAAAATGTGTGTGTTTTGAAGGAGTCATGATTCAATAATGCTATTTCTATTTATTTCCACGGGCAAGCACATTCACTGTGACTGTCTGATGTGACTTCTCTTCCTGGGAGGTGGCTTATCATTTCTTTTTATGATATCTAAAAGAAGATAATTAAGACACAACCTATTTATGGGATACATACCTCAGGAAGTGTTAAGTTTATTACTATGTCTGAGTGAGACCAAATTGATTTTATGATCCATTGCAGAGGCAAATAATGAAGCGATCAACGGGCTTCAGGAGGTGATCCCTAATGTAAGTGTTATTATACATGTTTACTCATCCTGAAAGTTGTATTTCTTTACTTTTACGCTCTTCTATTTCCATTCTCAAAATATTAATTTATATAGATTGCTAAATTTTTAACTCAGTATCGCAGTTGAGCTTATTTATAAGTTGGTCACGCCAGTCCTGAGTACAGATCATCTACATTCTGTCTTTTTTAAAATGGATAGAAAAGTATTAAGAAAATTTGGGAGTTGGATTTGGAGAAGATGGCTCCTTCACTACTTGACTGTTTGTTTAGAAGGTTGACCTTGATACATAGGTCCGCTACATGATTATTGGGTATACTGATTTTGGTTATTTTAGAATATGTGACTAAGCCGTCTTGCCTAACTGACGGGAAATGGTGAATTAGGGTTTATTGAAGATCTAAAAGTAATATGTTATTAAAACTTAAAAGATGTTCCTTAATATATCACAAACACAGAGACAACAACAATAAAAATATAAAAGAAAGAAAAGAGTGAAGTGACTGAAGTCACACGTCTCAATTTGAAACATCGTAACTTCAATATGTATCCGTGGATGTGAGTGTGGTGTTTGGAGTATCATACTTCATTTGTAGGAGGCTATCACATAAATGATTCTTCACCTTTTCTCTTCTCTAGTCTTAGAATCTTCTCTTTTTAGTTCACCGGTGAGGTTTTTTAAAATCAACTCAAAAACCCCTTGAAATTTCTCTAGAATAGGAAAGAGTAAAAAGCTTCTCACACCTCAGGTGGGCCAAAGTTTGTGCATCTCAGCAAGTCTAGGCATAAAACTTAGCAAATGGAACTAAAAGAGTAAAGTTTGAGGTTCTTAATGAGCCTTGCATAATTTTGGAGCGCTTTTGAAAAAATGGAGCATGACTTGTTATTTACTTAGTAGTTTATCTTCAGATGAGGTTTCGAAATATGTTCAATCTTTACTTAGAGAAGTTGTTGACTTTTGAAGAATGCAAATATAATAAGATAAGTTGGAACTGTGTGAAGAGTGATACTTTGTTCAGAACACACATTTTATGTATGGCATAATTCACACTGGTGCATATCCACACCTGTCACTTCCTTGGAAGCCTTATCGCTGAGTTGCACGGATTCTCATGAGCTGTAGATACTCCTTCCATCTGATGTTATTTTGCCCCTGTTTGAGCCCCATTTTTGGTGAGAAATGAGTTTTGTAATAGTAATTTTTTTGGAGAATGTGTGGTTAAAAAAGTAAAAAAAAAATATTTGTGTTTACGTGCAAAATTATTTTATTGCAAGAATGTGTGGTTGAAATGAGTTTGAGGGAAAATGGGGCTCAAACAAGGGCTTATCATCCCCTTCTTTTAAACCAAGTTTAAGAAAAGAATCCTATATATTTGACACCTCACCACTACAATTTCAAATTTCATCTCTACCCCACGTTTTTGTCACATTTACCAAAACAAGTTACAATATTTGGATATCCCTTTTCCCTCAATTTCTACTGTCAACTTTGAATGGATAATTTTTTTGGTGGTAACATCTTACACGCGACATCTAAAAAGTGTCAATAACATGAGACAGAGGAAGTAATGTCTAAACTAATCAGATCAATGTACTAGTGCTGTCTGTCCGTATTTCACATTCATGGACTGGTAGAAGAGGAAAAAGAATTCTTCTGGATCAACACTTATGTGCTCTCTCCCTTGATAGTGCTAGGCGTTTATATCAATGAACAAATATTTCAACTCACAATGAAGAGTTGAAAAGAATAAACGTCACTGTGTTGTGATTTGTATTTGTAATCACACACCTTGTAAACCAATGTCAATTGCTTACCGAGTTTGTCTTGTGGACTCTGTAGCACGAACACTTCAAATAGGATAACGTCTCCGTGTTGGACACGTGTTGTATACTGATGCTCCTCGAACTTTATCATGATCATTTTTACTTTTTTTTTTTATTAGAATTATTATATATTTTTTATTTAAAATTATTAGTGAATAGCAAATGTGTATGCATATTTAAAAGATTTCAAGAAAAACTAATAACAAGTATAAAATTATACTATATAAATTAAGAATTTAATCAGCGTGTTGGCGATGCGTCGTGTCATTACGTTTTTGAAAAATCACGTGTCGTCATACATGTCGGATACACGTGTTTGTGTTGGCGCATCATAGCTTATGAACTTCTTCAGAAGCATATTTATGAAGGTATTTTTGGGAATTTGGAAGAAAATATGATGTACGATACACTTTCCAATTGGGATTTCTGATGCTGGTTCTTATCTCAAAAGTTGATACAATTTGGAAAAGTAAAATATTTGTAGACCCTGTTATAGAAAGAAATCCGCTAATGCAGAGCTATGCCCGGAGAGGCCTGATTGTTGGTGTTTAACACGTGTCGGCTACCGAAGCACGTGACACGGTGGACATGTGTTGAAAGCACCACCTGGTGTGCCCTCCTTTTCCTTTCATTGAAGCAGTCGACACTGTCGTACATCGGGCTGACACGTTTCTCAAGAGAGGAGAAATTACTAAAACTATAAGATGAACTAATCTCGATCAATGAAGACTATGCCAGTAGGGGGAGAGGGAGTGACAGATTGGGGACATGCGTGAGTAGGCAGAGGTGAATCTGTGAAGTGGAGGATAAGAAGAGGCTGATGGATGAATCTAGAAAAAATTGTACTTTTGTTTTGATATCTGTTTTCTCTTAGGGTTAAAGAGGTACGTGTGCTTGTATTCTTCGAGTCAAAAGGGTAATTGGGTAGCAAAACAGACTTTTATTAACCCAGATTGAGACGTGGAAAGATAACTTTATTTGCAAAAAGGGCCATGAATTTTTACTTTAATTGTAAAAAATGCCCATGCAATTATTAAAGACTATAAAATAAAAGTGTTCCTGCATTATAAAAAATTAAAAGTTAATATTTAAAAATGTTTAAATATTATTTTAATTGGTGTGTCCCCGATGTGTCATGTCCTTTTTTTTAAAAAAAAAATTTGCCTGTCAGTCCATGTCGATGTTTCATATATGCAGATTAGTGTTATGTTTCATAAACATGAATTTCATTAAATGAGGGTATTAGCTGATCTTCGTGTGTAAACATCCTCACCCTACATTATCTGAATTTTCACTTTGTGCAAGCCTTAAAAATATTTAAAACTGAATAGTTAAGGAGTGAGGAAGAAGCTAACACTTAAACTGAGTTGTGCCTTGTAGTTACATTTCCATGAGCTTAGGTAATCACACCTTCGTCTAAGTCATGGGGTGTTTACTATCTCCTGAAAGAGACTGCTGGAAAAAGACAGCTCATCTGAAAACAAATTTATTGCAAAATTGGTTACCGAGAGCTCTTGCAGTTAACGTTGTCCAAATAAAACTGAAACAAGCAAAAGCAATCACGTAGAGATTGGAGTGAGTTGTGCTTGCTTCTTTCAAAGACCAAATTCTTACCAGTATGGGATCTCACACTGCTATTTGGATAAACTCAATTATTGTTCATCAGGAAAATTGCAATCAAATCTAGATGTACTAATTAATTAAAAGAAAGGGAGGCGGAAAGGATCAAAATGCTTTCTAAAACCACAATCTGATGTGGGATGGATAAACGTTTAAGTTGGAAATTAAGCCTCCATTTGGAAAAAAATAATAAATGGTTTAATTTATAAATAGGTAGAAATGAGTGGTTGATAAGTGGATAGTATTTCTGGATCCATTGGAATGTGTGGTTGAAAATAAAATTTGATCATTTTTAGATCTGAATCTAATTCTATATAAGGTTAGCCATGTGTGTGGTCTTTCAATTTAACTTTTTACAAGGGGCAGTTCCAACGTCCAAGTCACTGTAAAAAGATTAGGTTCATGAAACATATATCATGCCAAAATATTTATTAGTAGGCTCCTGAAGGTGGACTTTCATATAAGAAGTGTGGAAGCCCTACATTTTTTTATTCATATTAAGTTGTGCTACTCTTTCATTTACTTGAGGATTTGCATTACGACCCTTAAAGCTGATGAAAGTTTTTTATGTCTTTTTTAATTGGTGAAGAGTCAATCTGGCGCAAAAGAACCTACAGATGGTAATAGTAGTCATCCAGTAAATCACTCTGACATTGGTGGGATATCTGAGCTTGAGCAACTGTTAAAGCAGAAGACATTCACCAGGTAAGGCTCTGGAAAATGTCATCAGTCATGAACAGGTTGTTTGCATGTGTACATGCACGATATCTACTTTGGAGCTGAATGCTCTAGACAGCTGAAGTTTTTGCCAGGGTTTTCTTTATCTTTAATATAAAAGTTGTGACCCTTTTCTATGGTCATGTTCAAAATTTCAAATCTGGACCAATTGAGCTTAGCCTTGAGGAATAAGTCTCTGAAAATCGATTTCCAACTCTTCAAGGCATTGGATTTGAGGTGTTTAAACCTCGAGTGGTGTACGCCTCAAGAATATGCCTCAGATAACATTTTAAATCACTTGGTGTAATATCTATCACGGTGTGTAACTTTGCCTTTCAAGATTTAACGAGTTTACACGTTTACAGGTTATTGTGCAACTCCTTTTTTGTAGGGAATCCTCTTTTTGCTATCTGTTACATGCAAAATCTTATAATGAATTCCTTACGTGGATATTTTGATGTACATGTCAAAGTGAATGTTTAAACTAAGTATGCTATCTTTAGGTCCTGAAGTTTGCATTTCTGTTGAGCTTGAGTTATTAAAGGGAATCTTTTTTGATGCAGTTCTGAGATTGAACGCCTCACGGAACTATTACGTTCACGAGCTGAAGAAGTGCCGGTTGGCAAAAGAACTCAAGAAGCATTACCTGAGCTAGCATCCGATTTGGGAAGGCATCAACAGTTCTCGAGCAGTCCATTGGAAGAAGATAGAAATGAGAGGGATGGATATCATGGAGTCAATACTACTATAGCCAATTCGAGAGTATGATAAGAGTACTTATTTTACACGCACAGTACTTGTATCATTTGTTAATTTGTATACAATATTTTCTTGTAGTATCTGCATAATATAAGGTACCAGAAGAGTTTTCATTGATATTTATTTGGAAGAAACGTTTCCAGGTCCTTGAGGATGATATTGCTTCTCCAGCTGAACTTGCAAGAGCTTACATGGGCAGTTGCCCTTCAAAGATATCACCATCAAAGTTGGGGATGCGCAGTCAAATTGGTAGGGAAGATGCAAGATTGCTTAGCAATGTTCCATTTACTCCAAAATCACCCGTCATGTCATCGACAACCAGAGTTTCTGTTAACGTTGGGGTTCCAGAGAATGGTTTTATAACCCCAAGATCTCGAGGCAGATCAGCAATTTACAACATGGCTCGTACTCCATATCCCAGAGTTAATACAACGGCCATTCTCAAGGTTCAATTATGTTACTACATGTATCTGTGTAGTAAATGCTTTCATTTTCTGGAGTTCAAAATATACCATATTAATGGATGCACATGTTATATATGTTGGTTAATTTTCAGGGAAGTGGATCCACTAATAATGGTTATGGGGGATCCTCACTGTCAATATCTCGGTCTCTTCTGGAGAATGATTTGTCTAAGCAAGTGGTATATATCAGTGGCTCGTAATATTTTAGACTTCTAATGTTCACATAATTAAATTTTTTTAGTTATCTTCAACCTTCTCAAAATTTTCTTTGCATTTCAGAGCTTAAAACGAAGGAGTTCAATATTAGATGATGATCTTGGAGCCGGCGGTCTTGTGCGGAGAATCCGACAAAAACCTAATCTTTTGTCTCCCAGAATTCCTCATTCAGCTGGTGGAGTGGGAATAGGTTTTGATGGTGTTCGAGGATCTTTGAAGCAGAAGCTTCCATTAGTGGATGAACCAAAGCATAAGCTTTCAATAACTGTTAGAAAGAATGAGGATGACAGCATTCCAAGCACAAGTTACGCTCATGTTCCTTCTAAGTCCACTGAGGTGGCTTCAAGAATATTGAAGCAGATTGAAAAGCTAAGCCCGAAGGAAAAATCATCAGATCCCCGACTAGTTGCCTTGCGGGAGAAAACACCCGATAAATTGACACCCAATATACCTCATGGACAAGCTCCGAGGAGCCTGGAGTATGTGAAATCCTCGAAGTTGCTGCAAGATGTCCATGATGGCCATAAGTTGCAGGATTGGCCTATTGTCACTTCACAAGATGCACATGACTTCACTTCTCAAATGAAAGGCATATTAGAACCAAGAGGACCAAAAGATTTTGCTGTCCCTCTTGATAAGTCGACTCTTGCAACGAACAATTATACCACAGGATCATCGAAAGCTTCTGGGCCCAGTGTTCAAGTATTTGATTCTGTTGATAAAAAAATTGCAGCCCAACCTCCTCGAAGGAAACAACCTTTTAGGATGAGTGCACAAGAAGTAAGTGTTGTTTAATTCAGTTATGTACAGTAAATACTCCTATCAGTTGTATACTGTGTAAATTTGATATGTTGTTTGTATTGGGTATAAATTTAGAGTTTATAGCAATCCAGTTTTTCTTTGTCAAACATAGTTTAAATTTGTATGTTTTGAGGATTTACGCATAGTTGGTCATGATCGACTGTGCTTATTTCCTTTGTCCTTTGAAAATTGACGACTTGCCTTTGTGAAAATCTAGATGTCCTATTGTATATCATTGTGCCCCCCTGTTTGATCCACATTATTTTTTTTATTTTCATTCTTCTACTTATTTTCAACCACACATCCTTCAATAAAATAATATTTTCTATCACATCAATAACTTTTCTTTCTTTTTCAACCACATACTCCCCATCACATCACTTTAAAAAATTGCATTCTCTCATTTTAATGTGCACCAAACGGGCTCTATTTATTTCTGTGTTAATTTCTATTACTGTCTTTTACAGGATTCCTTTGAGCTGGACGATGACATACATTGCAACGTGGGTGAACCTAAACTATTTTCTGAAAAGAGAGTTACAACGGAAACCTCTCTTAGCAAGCCCTCACCTACTGAAGAACTAAAGCTGGATCAAACTACATCTCTGTCAGAAGAGAAGTCAGTTCTGGATCCTATATCAAGCAAAAGAAGTGACATGGGCAGTGATGCTGTGTTCCGAGGAGAACCAAGTATTGGCTCTGCTTTTTCTTCTTTACACGCTACCAGCACAGCTTCAGAGGTGGTCTCTCAACTAGTCTCTGCAGCTGACAAACAAAAGGAAGCTAATGATTCACATCCCTTGTTCAGTTTTAGCTCCAAAACTGTTAATGAGGTTCCATCACCTGCATTTTTATCCTCACCTTCTGAATCATCAAGCAAAAAACCATTTACTTGGTCAGAATCTAAACCAGAAAACTCCTCTAGGTAAGTCACTGCCAGTCAATCATGTAGCTGACAATTGCCTTTTGAGTTCCAACCTTTGTTTCGAAAAGCGTTTACTCCTTGAGGCAAGCCTCACGCAAGGCTTTTGTAAAGCGCATCAAAGTATATGCCCGTGCAATTTGCAAAGGCTTATGCCTCGGTTTACCAAGGTGCACACCTCAAGTCATAATCCTTGAGGAGGCTGATGTCTGCGCTCTATTATTTTGCCCCTTTTATTGCTAGCTTCAGCCTTTTGGACTCCTTTTTAATTGTATAGAACATTTTAAAGGTTTTTTTTGGCTATCTTAAACTCAACCCAAACATCTAGAAAAATGGAATTGTAGAAGATAGCAAGCGAAGCAAGCATGCCTAAACTTCCTACAACTAAAGTGCGATAAACCTTTTACCTTTCCGCCAAGTGAAGAGGCTACTTTTCAGTGGCAGATGGCTGGTGATGAGACCTACGACACATAACTTCATTCTTTTCCTTTTTCTACACTTCTCGTTTTTTTCGTTTTTGTTTCAGTTTCTTTTGTTTCAATTTTTCTTTTTCTTTATAAGGGGAAGATGAGGGAACTGTTGCAAGTGGAGGATGAGGAAAAAGATTTATGCAGCATTATTCAAGTCTTTTTCATACGACTTTTGTTAGTTGATATTGGCAGATGAATGCATTATGAGGCTTGTGCTTCTGGGTTACAGTAATGGTTATTTTTAGGGTCCTAATTCTTTCTTTTCTAGAGGATTTGGATGTGTAGAGAATGACGGGTCCTTTGCCTCCAAAACCTAAAATTTTAGTAGAGGATATATGCACATATGGGTTGAACATACCCAATTTTCCTTGAAAATATGAGTTTACGTTTGACTGCTTAATGTGGATGATGATTCATATCTATTGTACTTGTTAAACTAATACCCTATTTAAATTAAATGTGCAAAATGGAAGTCAAGAAGCATGACAATCAGATTCAGATATCTTGTTCTGAAAATTCATTGAGTGGAACATGGGCAAATGAAATCTTTATTTTCCATGCTAAGTTTAGAAGTGTGTTTTTTAAAATTAAACTTTCTATGGTTTTGAAATTCCTTAATTGCATGTGCAGCTTGATCAATGTGGCTTCTGCTGCAACTGGAGCTCAGCTGTCAATTTTTGGTTCAGATAAAGGTGGCCATCCAAATTCCCTGATTTCCGGTGATACTAATGGTAAATCTGAAGTTGCTTTTCCTGTTACATCAAATGGGCCACGTTTTTCAAGTTCTCCCGCCTTCTCATCCACTGCAGCTTCCACTAGTTATGCAAATCAGATCTCTATAGGGAGTTCTAGCCTTTTTACCCCTTCAACTAGCATTGCAAACTTTGGAACTACTGGTTCCACTACCAGTACCTTTACTGCCTACACGAGCAGCACTTTTGGATCAACCGTGGCACCTTCATTTTCAGCTGTACCTGCTTTCAAGTTTGGTTCCTCTGTGGATCCATCATCCACTTCAGTTTCTCTAACGTCAGCTCCAACCATTTTGGAATCAAAAGATATGGAAACAAAAGCAGAGAAAGATACAAATTTTGGCAGCACAAGTAATTCAAATTCTAGCATGACATCAATTATGGCAGCAAGCTCCCGAAGTAGCAGTTTTCAACTTGGATCTTCAGTCACTTCAACTGCAAATATCCTTTCTCAGGGTTCTCTTTTTGGTAGTGGCAGTGGATCTTTGGTGTCTAGCACTGTTACTCAAAGCATACCTATTTCATTTGGATCATCTTTACCATCTTGCAGTATTGCTAACAATACATCATTTGCATCGTCCTCGGCCAATTCCGAAGTTCCCAGTACAAACATTACTTTTGGTTTCAGTTCTGTAGCTTCCTCGTCTGAAAGTAATGCAGTTGGCCCTGGCAATGGGCCAACAGCTAGTGTATTCAATTTCGGTGCGAGTTCTGCTGCTGCTTCAGATGTTGGTGCCATTAGCTCCAGCAGCAGTGCCACTCCTGGAATATTTAGTTTTGGTCTCGGTTCTTCCTCTTCCTCCGCCAATGTAGTTGGCTCTACCAGTGGTGCCACTCCTAGTATATTCAGCTTTGGTAGCAGTTCTGCAGCTTCCACGTCGGGAATCAATGCTGCTAGCTCCTTCAGCAGTGGTACTTCTGGTATATTCAGTTTTGGTGCTAGTTCATCGGCTTCCTCTTCAGCCACCAACTCGGTTAGCTCTAGCAATCCTACTAACTTATTTGGTCCGAGTTGGCAAAGTCCCAAGTCTCCTAATCTTGGTTCTACTTTTACTTCTCCGTCCCCATCCACTGGATTTGCCTTTGGTGCATCATCATCTTCCTTTGCAGCTACAAGCACTGCACCAATGGTATTTAATTCGTTGACTGGGGCCTCATCAATCCCCATTTTCTCGTTTACTACAGCCTCTGCTGCAGCCTTATCTTCACCATCTCTTTCTCATTCGCAGCCAGTATTTGGTAATCCTCCTGCTTTTGCTGCCTTGACTAGTAATGATCAGATGAATGCAGATGACAGTATGGCCGAGGATACCATGCAGTCGTCTGCACCTTCTGTTCCTTCATTTGGTCAACCAAACATCTCACCTTCCCCCCCTGGCTTCATGTTTGGGTCAACAGTACAATCGCAACCTAGTCCCTTCCAGTTTGCTGGCCAGCAAAATCAAGTTGCTTCACAGAACTCTTCTTCATTTCAGGCATCAGCCAGTCTAGAATTCAATGCGGGCGGGAGCTTCTCGTTGGGCAGTGGTGGTGGTGACAAGTCAGGTCGAAAATATGTGAAAGCTAGTAGAAGTAAGAACCGGAAGAAATGAAGACAGTGAATGGTATAGCTGTTGTGTCCTTCATCGAAGCCATTAATCATGTATTTTGCCTGTTTGTTTGAGAGATTATGAGATAACTGTTCTTTTGAGTCTCCTCTTTGCAATCATGAATGTATTCTATTTAAATCTTTTCGAATTTCCACCCTTTATTTAAGCAAATCTTCTGTAGGCACAGTTTCATCAATTTTGGACCGATTAAGAACAATTGCAATATACGACGCTGGGTTATTGACCGTGCTTGTGTATTTATATGTGAAAGGAAATGTTCATAAATCTTTCAGAGGAAGTGTGTTGAGTTCCATTTCAGTAGCTTAGCTGTTCTCTTCATCTGCAGATTATCACCCTTGCAGCTTTTGCATACGAGTCGCCCAGTCGATCCTCTTGTATCTTTTAGTTGCAGGGGGAGCCTTTTGTGTTGTAAATGTACTGTTTGTAGACCGGCTTAGTATTGTTGTGCAGGTCATTCTTTGGGTTAGGATGTTCAATTTACACTTTCAAGTTGTTGGAGGATGAAATTTTGATTTTCTAATAGTTGGATGATGAATTTATATTTTATATGGTTTTAGGATGAAATTTAAATTATTAAGAAGTTGGAGGATGAAATTGAGTTTAATGAATAGTTGTAGTATGAAATTGCCGATGTAGAATAGTTGAAGGATGAGAATTACATTCTTGAATAGTTTGAGTGAAGTTATTTAAGGGGATGAAATTGACCTCTATTGGATGGTTCGAGAATGAAATTGATGATGCAGAATAGTTAGAGGATGAAATTTTAATTTTATATAGTTGAAGGATGAAATTAGCTCTATTGCGAAGTTGGGGGACGAAATTTACATTGTCCAATAGTTGGAGGATGAATTTTCATTTTTAAATATTTCAGGATTAAATTTAAATTAATGAGAAGTTTGAGGGTGAAATTGAGTTTAAAGAATAGTTGTAGGATGAAAATTACATTTTCCAATAATTGTAGGATGGAGTTTATTGATGAGGATGAAATTAACCTCTATTGGATAGTTAGAGGATGAAATTTTAAATAGTTTTAAGGATAAAATTAGCTTTATTGAGAAGTTTGGGGATGCGATTTACATTTTCCAATAGTTGGTGAATGAATTTAAATTTCTAAATAGTTTTATAGGGTAAAATTTGAATTACTGGAGGATGAAATTGACTATTATTGAATAGTCGTAGTTGAAATTGACGATGTAGTTGAAGGATGTAATTTACATTTATGATGAGTTGGAGGATGAAATTAGGATTTTTAATAGCTGATGAATGAAATTTACATTATTTAAAAGTTGCAGTACATAATTATCATTTTTATATAGTTGGAGGACTACAGTGGCGATGTAGAATACCTGAAGGATGAAATTGACAACATAAAATAGATCATGGACGAGATTGATATTATAGAGAAGTTGAGGATGAAATTTACATTACTAGGAAGTTGGGGGATGAAATTGATGTTATAGAATAGTTGGGAGATGTCATTTAGAATTTCCAATTGTTCTAGGTCGAAATATATATTTTTGAGAAATCAGAGGATCTAAACCGTAAACCCTAAATCCTAAAATTATTCAATAAAAGTCAATTTCATCCTCCAAGTTCTCAATGTTATAAATTTCATTCTTGAACTATTTAAAAATCAATATTTGATCCTCAAACTATTATAAAACATCCATTTAATCCCTCAACTATTCTATATCATCAACTTCATCCCCTTACTTCCTAGTAGTGTAAATTTCATCCTCTTATTTTTTCACAATGTCAATTTCATCTATGACTATTTTATGTCGTCAATTTCGTCCTCCAATTATTTAGAAATGAAAATTTCTCAACTGCAACTTTCGTAAATCGTAATTTCATCCTCCAACTTATCATAAATGTAAATTACATCCTTCAACTATTCTGCATTGTCAATTCATACTAAAACTATTCAATAAAAGTCAATTTCAATTTCCAACTTCTCAATAAAATAAATTTCATCCTCTAACTTCATTTTAATGTCAATTTTATACTCCAACTTATCTCTCAAGTCATTTTCATCCTTCAACTATTCTATATCTTCAATTTCGTACTATACCTATTCAATAAAAGTCTATTTCATCCTCCAACTTCTAAAAAAAGTAAGTTTGATCCTTCAACTATTCAGTAAAGGTCAATTTCATCCTTCAACTTCTCGACCAATTCTATGATTTCATCAGTTTTGTAACTTTGTTTCTTCTCAAGTCTCTTAAGCCTCCAAACTCTTATATCTTTTGATGTTGCTCGGTGTTCTATATATTGTCGGATTCATGTAGATTGGATTAACTAATTCAACCGAAATTAGCATCCTTCGACTAATGTTATTCGCACTACAACTATTCAGATGAATCAATATCATCCTTCAACTATTCTTTTTTTTTTAATTGTTTTAGGGGCCTTTGATTAAGTTTACATCTAATTTTTTTTTTATTGCATAAATTTAATTTGTCTTACTCAAATTATGTTCTTTTATTCCTTTTCATTTTGAGTTCGATTCTCCTTTCCTACTTTCATTTAAATTGTCCGATTTTCAAACGTTACTCCATTTGGGACGATATCTCTCTCGTCACGATTATTAATTGCACAACAAACCCGTACGCTTGCGGGATTATTTCGTAACAATACGCTCTAGGGAAATTCTGCTGAGGTTTATACAGGGGCAATATTGTCAAATTTTCATTATGAGTTAACAAGAAGAAAAAAAAAAAACCTGTCAACCAGGTGCTACGCTTGATCGGGATTGTTTGGATATTCACCAAACTACGGTAGGTATCGATTTCAAATTGAATTCAAACTCGATCCAATTAGATCCACAATTGAAGCGTGTATATTAAAATATCCGAATCGCAATGTGCGTATGTCATTTGATGAGCGCGATTAATGCTTTAAATTTAGCCAACAAAGTAATAATTTGGGGAATAAAAGCTGGACCAAATATTTACGCATCTGTCCTTTGTTTAGTCAAATATCGTGACCTACATTTATTTCATTTTTTAAAATCGTGCGGTGATCGGATCTGTTGAGATGCAAATCAAGTCTGCACTTATTACCTACCTTGATTTATAGAATCATGCTACATGTACAATATTGATTGACAATATTCTATTTTACATCATCATATCCATCCATTTTAAAAAACTGTTTTCTACATCACATGTTAGAATTTTGAGAACACTTGGTTGTTAACCATTGATGTCACACCAATGTTGTACACTTAGATTTATGGGTTAATTTCACAAATGGTCACTGAAGTTACAGCAAAATTACAAAATGATCACTGAAATTCAAAACTTGCATAAACGGTCACTCAACTTTCAGACACTTTCAAAAATGGTCATTGAGGTAAGTTTTTGGACTTTTTTCTTCTAATTGAAACCTAAAGCATCAAAACACAGTCACGTAAAAGCTGGAGGACCTCAACTTCAAAATTCATCTAAAATCCACCTCCAACATTCACTCCCAACCCAAGCCATTTCCGGTCGACTCCATTTCCGGGAAATGGAAGGTGGAGCTTAGTCGGCGGACATCGATACGTCGGAAGGCAGCTTAGTCGGCGGACATCTTAGAGGTCACCTCAAAATACAAGGCCCCAATCCTTTCTCATTTTCACACAATTCATAAAAGCAATCGGGAATTTTTTTTTTTTAATTTCTAATTTTTTCAATCCCAGAAAAAGATTGGCGTTGCAAGAGGACCAACGCCCGTCAATAGTGGCACAGCAGGCTGGCGAACGTTGGACGGGTTAATGCTATGTGAAACAGATGAAACAAATACCTGGCATCCCGGGGAGATTCCACTTTTTCTCCACACTTGGTTTAGAAGGAGTTATTTGATTACCTGAGGAGGAATCTCCAGAAGCTGTGTAGTCATTAATAGTAGAAGAATAGTCTAAATTTAGCAGGCATTTCTGAGTCAATCAAGTAGACAAATATCTGGAGGGCATTTATACTCGAGAAAAATTATGCAAAATCAACTGCAATGTAAGAGAGCTTGGAATTAGACAGTGTGTCATTGTCTATTAGTGGACTCATCTCTGTCAGCAAACCAAACTTTGCATAATTATTGAGGAAGACGATTCAACAATTAAAATACATAGACTATTCATTATTGACACTGCATCCCACCCCATGTGTACCCTCCACCGCACTCACTTTTACTCCACAAAAGCTCTTCAAATCCATAGATTTCATCGAAGATCTATCCACCTTCTAAGGCAGTGACGGCGATCACCGTTCGGGTCGATCTCCCAAATGGCGGTGCAAATGTTCAGCTTGTTTTTGAAGGCCCTGATGGGGAAGGAGTGGATTTCCAGCTTCCAAATAAAAAGGGAATTGCACTTCAGGTCCTCCAATGTTGAAGGAGCCGTGTTTTGTTAATT